AGCACGAGTCGAGCGAATAACTCTTTCCTTAAAATCTTATTTGTCGTCTCCCAAATTGGACAATTTTACCGATTTAGTAGACTTGAATGAAACTTTTTTTACTTAGGGATCCATTTGCTCTATCCACTTGACTTAGGGGCTAATTTGACATTTTTCCCATTTTAAAAAAATAAATCGTGAACATTAAGACCCAAGATGGACTTCGGTCCACAAAATAATTTGTCATCCTTTATATACAAAACTCACGCACATTAATCACAAAACCACTCACCTTAATTTTGATCTAGATGCAAAAATTACAAAATTGCCACCGCATTTTTTTTAAAAATTTTGATAATCTTGGACGTTGATTTAAGCGAGATGAATGACTTAGATTAAACCGCACAACCGCACCTGAGGCATTCACTCGCACCAGAACCGATTTCTATATATATATATATATATATATATATATATATATATATATATATATATATATATATATATATATATATATATATATATATAACAAATATTAAACTAGGGTTGCATATTCTTATATATGTATATGTGACAGCTACTTGCAATGGAGGGTTTCTTCTTGATAATGAAGATCACCATGTTTATAACTTCAACCATTTCCATAGGCTACATGGGTTTAATCAAACACCAACTCCCATTTTAAGGTATGAAATTTCCTAGATATTTTTTTTTTTTTTGGAAAAAATAAATTTTCATATTGTTGTACGGTGTCATGTTTTATGAAACATTAGACATTAAATAAATAATATTAGACATTTCTAATATTAGACCCAAAAAAAAAAGTTAATGAATAAAAAAAGGATATATGACATTAAATAATAAGCCTCTTGAATATATATATATATTAGTTTGTCTTATTTATGACACTTATCTCATTTTACATGTCGGGTTCTACGCATCAGTTAGACTTGATTTGAGTTATTTATAATATTTTTCATATTTAATTTAGTGTTAGTATATAAATTTATATATTTAAAAATAATATAAAAAATTATAATTAAACATGAAAAGTCAAATTTAAAATTATACTCCATAGTAAATTGTTAAGTCTTGATTCCTTAGCTTGACTTTAGAAATAATAACTATATAACGTTCCAACTAAATTATTTTATCTACCAGGACTATGTGGTCTAATGGTATCCGGGTTGGACTTCCAATTGGAAGATTATGAATTCAAGCCTTAGTGGAGGCGTTATTGGTTCTTTGTGTTTCAGTAGGTTGAGAAAGTATATGAACAGATACTACAATGTCATAGAGCCAGTAGCTTTCAAAAAAAAAATTATTTTATCTTTTATTAGTTTTTTTTTCTGGGTGGGGGGACCTCCAAGCATGGCCTGCATGGGCCCTGGAAAATAAACGAGGAAATGCAAATTAATTTTACCAATAAATAGTAACATCACAATTCAAGTAAAATTGGAGCAGATGGAATACATCATTATAAAATTTTCAAAAAATTAAAATTAAAAATTTATAGGTTTGTGATTAAGGGTACATTTGGAAATTCAGAAAATAACTTCTGAAGTTATTTTTCAGATTTTTCAATGTTTGGATAGTTAAGGAAAATGAAGTCAAAGGAAATATTCATTCTGGTCAATGGAAAAAAAATACCTAATTTGATGGAAAATGCCCGCCTCCTAGTTTTAGTCCTAAGACATTTTTTTGAATTCTTTATTTTTCATCTCTCTTCCTTCTTTTCTTTCTTAAATTAATTTTCAGATTATTGCTATTAGCACCACCACCAACACCACTGCACCACAACACAATTCAACTACAACATCACCAGGCCACCACTATGACATCACCACCACCATTACCACACCACTACAACCACCACTACCACACAATTCAACTACAACATCACCAGGCCACCACTACGACACCACTACAACCACTACTACCACACCACCACCACCACCACCACCACCACACCATCGCCACCATTATTACTACCACACCACCACCAGCATATACCACATCATCACCACTTATTATTATTATTATTATTATTATTATTATTATTATAACAAAATGAACCAAATAGAAAAAAAATGTAATTTCTTAACTTTCAACCAAACAGAAAATATATATATATATATATTACATTCAGCCAAACACCAAAAAATTAAATATTTTTTAAAAAAAGAGTTATTTTCTTGATCAATGATGAATAAACCTTAGCTAGGCACCTACGTAGTTAGGGTCAAATTGACCCTAATTCTCTTTGATCAAGAAGTAACTTCAATTTGGTCATAAGGTTTACATTCAGCCAAACACCTACGTAGTCTAGATGTAACTTCAATTTGACCCTAATTCTCTCTTCTTCTTTTTTTAATTATTTTGGTCTAGTTCTGAAGATGGTGTAATAAAGATTGCTGGATCTAATTATGTATATACGAAAGTGGCAGCCTCCAATATACTGAGGGGTAGTGGGTTCCATGGTCAAAACAACATCACTAATTATTCTCTCATCAGTTCGGATTTTCCCATGATGTTCACACAAAGATTCTCATCTGCAGATGAGACAATGAGTACACCCACTCCATCGTCTTCAACCAATCTGCAACAACTACACAGACACAGAACAACTGATGAAGGAGGAGAGAAAATGGATGGGCAGAATAATAAAGAAAAGGAAATTATTTGCAGAAGTGAATATTAATCTTGATTTGAATTTATCCATAAATGCGAGGATTAATCATAGTACTAAACTGTGTCTTTCCTTGTATTCATCAGAGGGGAATCATCATCATGGGATAATAAGAAGAAGAAGAAGAAGAAAGCAGGAAGAAGGAACAGGAATGGGTGGCAGTAGTAGTTGTAGTTTAGATCTGAGTTTGTGATTAATTAAGAAATTAGATCATATAAGAATTTCAGGCATATTTATTTTTTATATTTATGAAGATATATATATAATAGAGATTGAATGTTGGATCGTCCCTTGTACACGTTTTATACATTCATTTTCGGGTGCAAGTTCTAGGTTAATGCATCATTGTATGCATGATACATCGGTCCACGCAATAATTTACCGAGACATGGCATTTGGTGCCACAAATTAGGGCTAACTAGCCGGGTGATGCAGGACATCTATGTTCGCTCCAAAGCTTTGTCGTATAACTGGACAAAAGTATGAAATAGGTGGAAATAGGACGTTTTTGTAGTGCGCGGACAATAATATGACAATTTTAAAAGCTGGACAAAAGTATGAAAAAGTACTTTAGGACACGCGCTCGGATGCGTTTGAATTTATTTTTTGTTTTCAAAATATTGACCACAGACACAAGTAGGACTTGTGTACATCAGACGCAAGCTATATGATGTTTCTACCGGAAGAGAGCAAAAAAATGATCCTTATATTAATGCATGCATGTCCCAAAGTACTTTTTCCTATTTTTGTCCCGCTTTTAAAATCGTTATATTATTATCCATGCACAACAAAAACGTTTTATTTCAGTCTTTTTTGCCCTTGTATAACTAGCTATATATAGTGTTGTAATGACCAAACATGATGTTAACTTGTACTACAAAGCAACCATTAGCTTTGTGCAAGTATTCATCGTTAATCGTCGTCTTATTTTTACGCTTATATTTATAGATTTTATGATTTTACAACATATGGAATATATGATTTATATATCAAATTTTAGAATAAATATTAATACATTATATTACAATGCGAATGCTCCTTATAGTAATGTGGATACAACTTTCATACTTTTTTTCAATTGTCACAAGTATTGACATCTAATTTTATTTGTTGTAATACAGCATATTCAAAAGGGAATGCACGAGGATGGAATTGAAACAACACCTATTACATTAAGGCTGAAGTTTTAAAAGTGTATATTTCAGGGGCGAATATAAAATTGTTAGGGGCCAAAATGTAAAGTGTGAAACTTCAAGGTCCCGTAATGTTGGATGATGGCAAAACCACATTTTGGCCCATGCAGGTCTTGAACCTGCGACCTTCGCGTTATTAGCATGACGCTCTAACCAACTGAGCTAATAGGCCAGCTTATTTGTGTTATTCGAATTAATTTTATTATACTGGTGTTATATAATTTATATTGTAGTGTAAATGCGGAAAAAGACATGTTAAATACTACGGAGTACTATGCAATTTTGTTGACTTATCAAGTGATTTTTAGAGATTAATGCTAAGTGCATTTTTGTACCATTGAACAGTTTCAAAACAATTTTAAATTGTTCAACCAAAAACAAAGGTAAAGAAATGTTTTGATAACAATATGATTAATTCTAAAGTTTCAAACTAAAACAATGTGAAAAACACGTTGAGGATCAAATATTTTGTATAAGAAAAAAATAATGATGAGTGAGTTGGTAGATAGATTGGGCAATTCTTATACCATGAACCCTTCACAATACACTGTAGACTCTTATGCATGTATATGTGTCGTATGTTATGAGTTTTTATGTATTGTATTATGAAATTTTGTACCTCTGTACACGAAACAAATTAATAATTATGTTTTATGTTATGAATTTCAGTTCTGGTTCGTCAGAACCTAACCGGTTTGGTTCCGTGGGCATGACTACCTGGCTGTGGCATTGTGCTGACTTTGGTCTAAATTGTCTTTGAGGCACAGCAAAGAAACAAAGCAATAAATCCATCCATTATTGTCAGACTCAGATAAAACATCAATAACATTTTATTTTTTTTGAAATAGAACATCAATAACATGAATGAAAGTTTTTTTTCTTTTTTTTTTTATACGTTATTAAATCGCAAGTCACCAAAGCAGTCCCTGTCATTGATTGATCCATTACCACAATTCCGCCAACTTGGGAAGTCTTAACTCCAAGATATTGTTGCTGAAGTATTGCCTTTAGGTTAGATGATCAACCACTTGAGTTAACCTCCAAGGCAATAAGGAAGGGTCATTCATGTCGATTGGTAATGAGTACTATCATTGGTCCTATTGTACTATATAGGATACAAATAGCATACATGATTCTACTTGTTGCAACTCAACAATGTGGACTGATCCCTAGAATTTTCAGACAGTTTTCATACAAAGAATGTCAACCAATACAATGAATAAAACAGTGTATTGCAGTTTATTAATAGCTGAACACACAACAATTCTGCTACTGAATACACTCATAAGATGAGGAGGATTTCTGCAAATAAGATTTTAACAACACCCATGTTTTGCTGGAGATCACTCAACACTGTTCTCATCATGAAAAATATACCAAAATCAAAATGCATAATAAACTTCGCAAAAGGCGCTAGGCACTAGTCGGGCATCTGAGTGGCGTCTAGTCACCACTTAGGCGGTCGAGTAATTATCCTGTATATATACAAGACAGAGGACAATGAGATAGTAAGCACTATTGTTTGAGTGCTATAATCTCTCAAACTAGTCAACTATAGTTTTAGCATGTAAAATTTCACTATTTCTAAATTCACAATTGAAAAAGAAAAACACCCCACCGACTCAGTTGAGTTGCGCTGAGTCGGGCGTGTTGGGCACCTAATCGGCCGATTAAAAGTCACCTAGGACTGAAATTTCTCAGCATAAGGATGGCCTGGCCGATTTTTACAACACTAAACAACAAAGAGCAAATCATTTTTGAGAGACGAGAAAAACCAGCAGCCACTATCCCGGGTTTGAATTGGATAAATCCCAAGTTGTCAAACAAAGAAATAACTCAATTACAAGACATGCTAATGTTATACTCACAATTTATTAGAGAACAGGGAAGTTATTGACTATACAGTAACAGCCATACTAGCAATTCCAAGTTTCAACAAGTCTATCAAACCAAAGATTGAGAATTCCACCATTGGTGAACCAATAAAATTACTCTGATGAGGTATTTGAATGTCATGGAATTTATCAATCTGAATCAACATATGAGAATAATAGAACAGTTTCTGAGACTTACCTAAAAGAAGAATGTCTTTTAGCAGAAAATTTTTCTTTCTCCTCCAAATGGCAAATGCAGAGAAGATCCAAGTTAAAATTTACTCAGTCTTTCCAGCTGCATCATGCTCATCTATGGCGTGCATATCATAAAACTCCTTCAATTTCTCCCCCATTTCTATACCCCTTTGCTTCATCTCTTTTACAACTACTTTGGCATCTTCAAATCTCCTCCTGTGAATCAATTTCGTCGCCAATGTCCCGAAATTCTCGTAATCTAATTTCAAGTCTCTCCCAGAATAGGTCATTACGAACTCCAGCGCCTGCGCATGAAAACCTAGCCTCACCATTGATCCGATAATGTGCGCGTGTGTTGAATACAACGGCGAAATCCCCTCGTCCACCATTCTAATCAGCAGCCTCAGCGCTGCGTCTGGTTTTCCGGCCCTGCACGCGCCCAAAACCAGCGCGTCGTACGTCCTGGTGTCCGCTCCCAGCTTCTCATTCTCCAATTTGGTGAGAACTCCGGCGGCTGAGGTTAGATCGCGGACGTAGCAATAGCCGGTGAGTATGTAGTTGTAGGCGGTGAGATCCGGGCGGACTTTCAAGTCCTTCATCGCCTCCACCACGCGCCACGCCTCCTTGAACTTCCTCATCTTAGTGAGCTCGTTGAGAATAGGGTGGAAAGTGACGGCGTTGGAGCCGTAGCCCTCGCGCACCACGATCTCGGCCACGCGCAGCGCCTGCGGCAAGTGATGAAGCTTCGAGAGGCGAGCCACGAGGCAGTCGTGCGCGCTCTTCCTGGCGAAGCGCTGGTCGACGCGAGATAGCGCTGCAAGAAGATCGTCGAGCTTAGAGACGTCATGGGAAACGAACTTGAAGGTGTAGTTGGTGCAGAATAAGCCGTCTTTACCCCGCTGCTCGAGGAGGGATTGGACGGCGTCGAAGTCCCCATTCCGGCCGGCTTTATTAATCAGCTCATCGTATTTCGACGTCGTCAGAGTCTCCGGCGTTGCGCCGGCATCGGTTGAGCTTTGGGTAGAGAAAGCACACAGAAATGGTGATGATTTTGGGGTTTTACAGAGAAGCGAACGCAGAGAGAGCATTTTTAACAGGGTTTAGGGGAGAAGAGATCGAGAATTCAAAAGGAGTTCAGATTAGGGATGTAAATCGGGCCAGCCCAGTCTCCGGGCTAGTCCTGTCGGGTTGTCGGGCTAATCGGTTCGGGTTAATCGATTTATTAATATTTTATTCTTGAGTTTGGTTTGGCTTTAACCCTAAACTTCGGATTGTTAGGCTAATTGAGCGGGTTGAACCATCTGAACTAAAATTAGAAACTGAAAGTGAGTACCAATATTTAGAGTAGGGATGACAACGGGGCGGGGCGGGACGGAATGGGACGGGGCGAGAAGTATAATTCCCATCTCCATCCTCAACGAAAAATTAAAAATAGTCCCTATCTACGTTCCCGCGGAGAATTTGACAGGGACGAAGAATTCCGTCCTCATCAATTTTTAGTCAAAATATTATATTAATGTTGATTTAAATTTTAAAAAACTAAAAATTTAAGTTTTAAATTAAATTATATATATATATATATATATATATATATATATATATATTTATATATATATATTTATTTATTTATTTATTTATTTATTTATTTTAAAGTATAATAATTATTCATTAGGTTTCACATCACTTCTATAATAAAGAATAGTTTTCAATAGTTCGAGTTGTCGGGCTAGCACTTTTAATTTCGGGTTAGCCCTATCAGGCATCGGGCTAATCGGTTTCGGGCTCGTCGGGCTAATGTGTTTTATCGGGCTAGCCCGTTCGGGCCATAGCCCTGTCGATTTTAGTATTTTTAGGGTTGGCCCATCGGGTTCGAGCTAAATTGACATCCCTAACTCAGATACGTAGGAGCATAGAGCATTGTATATTTTGGGCCCAAATAAATTTAGCCCACAGAGTTAGATAATCGTTATGGCAAATTATGATGTGCATCCGTATGCACCATGTATGGTGCATACGGATGAAAAAACGACGTCGTTTTATTAAAAACACGCGTCTCCCATTTAAAAAAATAATAATAATAAAAATCAAGTTCAATTCCCAGCAACAACATATGAATTAAAATTTCAGAACCAATGAACTATAATTCCATAATCGATGAAGTATAATTCCATAATCTATGAACTAAAATTCCAGAATCTAATCTATGAACTAAAAATTCCAAAATGAGTGAACTAAAATTCCAGAATCTATGAATTAAAATTTCAGAATCAATGAACTACAATTCCAGAATCGATGAACTATAATTCCAGAATCAATGAACTAAAATTCCATAATCTATGAACTAAAATTTCAGAATGAATGAACAACATAATGATGTTGCTAGGAATCGAACCTGATTTTTTTTTTTTTAAGGAGAGACGCGCGTTTTTAATAAAACGACGTCGTTTTTGCATCTATATGCACCATGCATGGTGCATACGGATGCACAACATAACTATCCAATCGTTATACCTGCACCACGGCGCACAATGCACTGTGCGCTCCGCTGGCAAATTATGTTATGCGCACGTGCGCACCTTGCAAGGTGCGCACGTCTCTAAAACGGCGTCGTTTCAGGGAAAACGACGCTGTCCTAATTAAAAAAAAATGTTCAAAAGGGCCGTTAACGTTATTAACAGCGTATTCGTTATGAAATTATGAATGTACAGACGTACAGTTATGACATTATGAATGTATAGTTATAGAATTATGAATGTACAGTTATGAAATTATGAACTTACAATTATGAACATAGGGCTTCGAAAATTATGAATGTACAGTATGGAATTATGAATATACAGTATGGAATTATGAATGTACAGTTATGAAATTATTAACACAGAACTCTGACATTATGAACATAGAGCTTCGAAAATTATGAATTTACAGTTATTGAATTATGAATGTACAGTTACGGAATTATGAATGTACAGTTATGGAATTATGAATTTACAGTTATGAAATTATGAACACAGAGCTGTGAATATATACTCCTATAACGAAGCAGTCTGAAATTTAAAAAAAAAAAAAAAAAAAAAAAAAAAAAAAAAAAAAAGGTAGATAACGGTGCCACTGACGGCACCGTTACCGTGCGCATGATGCACGCTGGGCACGAGTCCACAGCATAACGATTGGCGCCCCGCTCCTCCCAAAACGACGTCGTTTTGGGAGGCGCAATAGAAAGTTGACATGATTATGTATATTTGTTTATATAATTATGTATATTTTTTATTATGTACATTTTTTATACAATTATGTACATCTGAATCAGGAAATTTTTGTGTATTATGTTAAGAGTTGATGTGTATTATGTTAAAAGTTTATGTTTATTATGTATTATGTTAGATTATGTGTATTATCTTTTTAAAAAGAGTATGTGTATTTTGTTATATAATTATGTACATTCATGTATACAATTATGTGTATTCTAATATAACATTATGTACATTTTTGAACATGAGATTTTTTTTTAAGGAAAATTATCTGTCAAACACTGGGTAGCGAAATTTCAAAAAATAAAAATAAAAAATTTGAAACGACGTCGTTTTGCATCTGGGCGCACAATGCAACGCGCGCCGTGCTGCAGGATATAAATTGTCATCGTTATGCTATGGACCCGTGTCCAGCATGTATTGTGGACACGGTAACGGTACCATTAGTGGCATCGTTATCTTCCGTTTTTTTATTTATTTATTTCAGACCGCTTCGTTATAGGAGTATATGTTCATAATTTTATCACTATATGATCATAATTGTAAGTTCATAATGTCAGAGTTCTGTGTTCATAATTCCATAACTGTACATTCATACTTTAATAATTGTACATTCATAATTCCGTAACTGTACATTCATAATTCAATAACTGTAAATTCATAATTTTCGAAGCTCTATGTTCACAATTTTAGAGCTCTATGTTCATAATTTTATCAGTATATGTTCATATTGTAAGTTCATAATGTCAGAGCTCTATGTTCATAATTCCACAATTGTACATTCATAATTCCATAACTGTACATTCATAATTCTATAACTGTACATTCATAATTTCCTAACTGTACATTCATAATTCCATAACTGTACATTCATAATTTTCGAAGCTCTTTGTTCACAATTTTAGGGCTCTATGTTCATAATTTTATCACTATATGTTCATAATTGTAAGTTCATAATGTCAGAGCTTTGTGTTCATAATTCCATAACTTACATTCATAATTCTATAACTGTACATTCATAATTCCATAATTGTACAATCATAATTCCATAACTGTACATTCATAACTCCACAAACGAATAACGCCGTTAACGGCGAGACAAAATCAAATTTTTTTTATTAAAACTGGAATGCTGCGTTTTCCCTAAAAACGACGTCGTTTTAAACTCGTGTCCACAGCATAATTTGCGAGAGTTAGACCTGCAAATCATCAATAGTTATTGCCCGCAAATTATGCTGTGCAACCGTGTGCACCATGTATGGTGCAGCAAAAACAACGTCGTTTTGACTAAAACGCGCGTCCAACTTAAAAAAAAAAAAAAATTAAGTTCGAATCTCGGCAATAGTATTTTTTTGTGCATAATTTGAATTATATATCCACAATGAATGAACTAAATATCCACAATGAATGAACTAAATATCTACAGTGAATGAATAACTAAAAATTCAGAATGAATGAACTAAATATCTACAATGAATGAACTAAATATCTATAATGAATGAACAACATAATGTTGTTGAGGGGAATCGAAACTGAATTTTTTAAAATAAAATTGGAACGCGCATTTTTAGTCAAAACGACGTCGTTTTGCAACCATGTGCACCATGCATGGTACACACGGTTGCACAACATAACTATTGGTTATTGCCTCTATGTGGATCACGGTCCAAAAATGACGTCGTTTTGTTTAATTTTATTTTTTCGCGCGTCCAGTTGTAACATACATTTTTATAACTCGTAATGTACATTATTCTAAAATATAATATACATTATTTTAAAATATAATGTACATTATGTTACCCCATATGTTTCACTATTCTAAACACGTAATGTATATTATTCTAATACATAATGTACATTACTTTTATTCATAATATTCACAACGATGTTTTGGACCGTGGTCCACACAATAATTTGCCCAAATTATACCATGGACCAAGGTCCACCTTGCATTGCAATCATTATTGTGTGGATTATACTATCAAATAATATACTTTTAGTATATTAAAAATGTACATTGTATTCAGGGAAAGTATATTATTTGACATGTATACCATGGTCATTAATTTATTCACTGAGGTTCGATCTCATTACCTCCCATATAAAAGAGATCACTACATGTCATCTGAGTACAAAGTACTTGAAAAAATGCAATACCGATTGCTTTTGAAAGAGAGGAAGAAGGCAAATTATATCGTGCACCGTGGTGCATAATCGATTATGCACCGCGCGTCAGACATTACAGTGTGTCTAAACCGACACTGTCAAAACGACGTCGTTTTATTTAATGAAAAGAAACAGAATCTTCGCAAAAAATAACTCTGTTCTTCAGTTTCATTTTGTATACACTGCAGTTTCAGTTCAACACAAGTACAGTTTCATTTCGATATAACTACAGTTTCATTCAATATTTATACACTCAAATATGTGAAAATGTTATTTAATTTTATTTTATATACACTATAATTTCATTAAAACACAACTACATGATCATTTGAATATAATTATAGCTTCATTGTACAATATACACTCAAATATGTGAAATGTTATTCAGTTTCATTTTATATATACTGTAATTTCATTTCACCACAACTACAGTATCATTTGATATAACTGTAGTTTCATTTGATAATATAAAAATAATACGTGAGCAGTGTCGGTTTAGACACATTGTAGTGTCTGACGCGCGGTGCATAATCGATTATGCACCGCGGTGCACGATATAACGACCCGAGGAAGAAGGAAACAAGGCCCATGTCACAATATCTATAGAGTAGAAATGGGCAACTTATACCGTGCACTGGTCCTGGCCCAAAACGATGTGGTTTTGCATCTTTTTGTGGGCAAATTATTGTATGGACCATTGTGCACACAATGTTGTATGGAC